GGAATGTGCTTGTCATCATTTTTATGTATCACTTATTCATCTGTTATTTTTAGCACTAGGCTTCCTCCCCTCCCTCTCCCCCCACTTTCTACAGCAGACCATAACCTGAGCTCGCTAAATGACTGTAGCATATTAGCAATAGAGGGGAGACTTCTGCACTGTTTTCATGATATTGCTTAAAAAATGGGAGGTTTCCTTCTTAATTTTGTTCTTAGTACTTTTTTCTTTTGCGGTGGAAGTTAATTCCTTAGAGTGAGTTTTCTTCATGTCATTTTTCTGTTTTGTGCAGGATGTTAGAAGGAATAAAAGCTCAGTCTACATAGAAGTTGAATGTTTGTTTTCGTGTCCTGGTATTTATCTTAAAAAATAAATGTCTAGGGACAATGATCAGTATTTAAGGAACTTAGAAAAAGAAAAAGAGGAAAAACAGTCTTGGTTTAAGGGAATTGATTTTGGGCATTTTTAGTGTTTGATAATGTTCAGAAAAAAATCTCCAGAAATTCCCTGATTAATGTGATGTCAGGTAACATTACTGTATTAGTGATGATGGTGATGGAAATTCCCGAAGTAGAATTGTAATAGCTACAAAACTGTCTTCTGTTTCTCCCTTTACATTTGTAAAAATGTATCTTTATCTCCTACTTTATTCATCTTTTGAGGGGTAATTACAAAATATGTTTATCTTTTTCATTAACATTGCTTAAAGTTTGAGGGCGTCTGGGTGGCTCTGTTGGTTAAGCGTCTGCCTTCGGCTCAGGTCGTGATCTCGGGGAGTGTGGCATTGGGCTCCTTGCTCAGTGGGGAGTCTGCTTCTCCCTCTCCCTCTGCCCTTCCCCCCTGCTTGTGCATGCTCTCTCTCTCTGTCAAAATCTTAAAAACATTGCTTAAAACTTGGGCTGAGCTCTGTACATCAAGGCTGGTAGAAGACTGAAATACAAAATGTTCAGTAAGAATAGGGCACCCAAGTAGATAGTTTCACATCCTTCCATGTTGAACACCTGGGGATTTGTGGGGAGAAGTAAAGGTGACAGGTGAAAGTTTACGTGAGAGTTGCTGCGGTAGGTTTCAGAGAGTGCACAGACGTTGTTCAGGGGCTGCATTGTAAGTGCCTGATAGAAGCTTATTCCCACGTGTTGCTCAGCTCAGGATCTGCTCCGGGCCTTTGCTGGTCTGGAAGGGTGAGTCACTCCCCTCCGGGGGCTCCGTTTCCTCTGCTGAGAAACAAAGGTGTGGTAATGCTGTTGCCCACGCAGGCTCACTGCATATGTTCACAGACTTTCTCAGTGTCACGAGGTCTGTGTGAGCTTGTGGATCAGCCTTTTTGCTTCCCTCTTCCCTCTAAGTAACCCAAGCATCTGAATCCATGTCCTCACTGTACTTTCACCCAGTATTCTCCCAGTTCCTTCTCTACAGCTTCGGTGAGTCTGTTGAAAGAAAAATCAGGTATTTCATTGTTTCTTATCCAACCACAAATCCTCATTTAACCTCCATTGGCGGATCCTCTCTAAGAGAACCACGGCCTTCAAAACCAGAGAGATACTGTCTTTGAATACGGAGCAGCTGTGTGGCTGATGATGACTGACTCTGCTGTAGAAATCTGTGGAGGTGAAGGCTGGATCAGTCAGGGTTCTCCAGAGAAATGGAACCAATAGGATGTATGAAAGAATATGGATAAAGAGATTTATTATAACGAACACAGTCGCATGATTGTGGAGACCCCCAAGTCCCAAGATCTGCAGCATCAGCAAGACTCAAAAATAGTACTGTTCCCATTCTAAGACTGGCAGACTCGAGACCCAGGGTGGGCTGATAGTTCAGTTCAAGTCCAAAGTCAGAAAAAAAAGCCAGTATCCCAACTGGAAGGCCACCGGGTGGGAGGAATTCTCTCTTCCTTGGGGAAGGGTCAGCCTTTCTGGTCTGTATTTAGGCCTTCAACCGATTGGTGAGGCCCATCACATTGGGGAGGGCCACCAGTTTTACTCAGCCTACCCATCTAAATGTTACTCTCTCAAATTCCTCGTATCAGTGAGATCATATGATAATTGTATTTCTCTGATTGACTTATTTCGCTTAGCATAATACCCTCTAGTTCCATCCACATCGAAACAAGACAGAGGATCATAGGGGAAGGGAGGGAAAAATGAAATAAGACGAAACCAGAGAGGGAGACAAAGCATAAGAGACTCTTAATCTCAGGAAACAAACTGAGGATTGCTGGAATGGAGGGGGTGGGAGGGATGGGGTGGCTGGGTGATGGTCATTGGGGAGGGTATGTGCTATGGTGAGTGCTGTGTAAGACTGTTGAATCACAGACTTGTACCTCTGAAACAATACATTATATATTAATTTAGAAAAAAAAAGATGAACTTTAGGAAGTAATTATTCTATGAAAGCTTATCTTTTCCAGGGTGAAACTGATACTAGCAGTGCTTGAGATAAAAAAACAAAACAAAACAACAGCACTAAATAAATGTTACTCTCATCCAAAAACACCCTCATAGAAACACCCAGAATAATGTTTGACCACAACTCTGGACACCTGGTGACCCAGTCACTTTGACACATATAGTACAATCTGTCACAAAGGCTGAGTCAGGATGAACGTGGGAAGCATTGTTGAAATGGAGAAGTCATAAAGTCCCTTCTCATTTGTATTTTTAATTTAAAATTAATTTCGACCTCTACCATGTACAGTATTGATTGAAATGCTAGTTCTCTTGAAACATAATTGCATATGTTAATGAACTTCTTCATCTCTGTAAGGTTTGCTTTAGGCTCTCTGGGTCCCCCAAGCTCTTCTTCCTTCCAAATGACGTTAGCATTTGAATCCGTTTTCTTCTCATGAATTTACCTGCATTTTGTCCCAAGTTTTGGGTGGAGATGTCGAGGCATGCTGAAGATGATCACAGCGTTTCTGGCAAGATTTTAAGACTGCCTGTGTAAAGCTGGGCTGGAATGGTCTTTACTTTCCAGTGATGTTTTGATGTGTAGTCACATAAATACATTAAGTGACGCCTTTAAAAATACTTTGTAAACCGCAGAATTCAGTGAAAATATGAGTGTCATCTTCCCTGATCTCTCATGATTGGCGTGGACCCAGATTTTGTTTTACTTTATATTTTTGTCTTTTTACTCCACCATGGATGGCATGGGCTTCTTCCTCTTGCGGTATCCAACGCCTGATTGGTTTTCTGTCCTCTGATGCTTCCATCCGCAACACAGCCCCTAGGAATTATCTTGTACAGCGGTTTCATGTGGAGGTATAAAGGAGGGATACGCTTTAATACACTACCCAATCTGGAAACATCTACGTATTATTAGAAGACAAAGAATGCATCTGTAATGGTGGATTTTCAGGAATCACCTAGAGAAGATATTTGAGAGGCAGAACTGGGAGTATAGTTTTCACTGTGGCTTACAGCTTCTGGTAGGTGTCAGTTTATGGTTGCATACTGGCCATTTGTTACTTCTGGAATCTAGAATTGGCAAGATCAAGAAGAGATTTGTAGTTTCGACTTGGACTGGCTTGTTGGTCTAGTGTAGTGGTCCTCACTAAGGCTATGAACCAGAATTGCTGGAGTTGCTTTTGAAATGTAAACTTCCCTAGCCTTCACACTTCATGAGTAGGTTCCTCATGTATCTGGCCTGGACAAGTTTATTGATAAAAGCCAACAGGTCGTTCTAGTATTCCTAAAAGGCTGACACCAGGTGGCCATCACGTCGCTAATACGGATGTACAGAAGCTTACACAAGGTTAAATTTGCTGCGGAGATTGAGAATTTTCGGTATACTCTGGGACTTCGTTGTTTTGCTGACAGACCATGATGAATCAACAGATCATTTTAGATCCGGTAGCCATTGTATTTCTTCCATGTAGAGAAGGTGCACAGTGACCTTCCTGTGAAATCGATCCAGAGAAACTGGGTGGGGGGGCGGTGAGGAATAGTCAGAGTTTGTATTGCTTTTCTCTCGGGAGAGACTGAAGGGACCAGAGTGTTCAGTGTTGGAGATCCTTCAAAATATCGTTTACCCAGAATTAAGGATTGGCCTGGAAAGTTTGCTGTGAAGAGTTAGAATCTGCTTGGAGGCTTAACCAGGGCCAAACCAGCGATGCGGCCGGTGGTGCAGGTGAAGTGACATATGCAGCCTCATGACAAGCCCCCGCTGCAGACCTTCTCCTGAATGTGGAGATTGTTCTGACTACCGTTGGAAGGCCCCTCTCCGCTCTGCCGCTGAATCCCTGTGTTGGCAAGTTTCTAGAGCCTTCTTCACCTTTTGGTTTATCTTTAAATGAAGGTAATACTTACACGTGAATGTGTTTTGAACCTTGGAAGGAGGGAAAGTGGCCCTCAGAATTTGACTGTCTTTCTTTACCAGTTCACAGTTTCAGCTTTGAAGAAGCACATAGGTATTTCAGTGGTGTAAAAATGCGTTTTAGTTTCATTCAGATGTATAGATGGCGATTATTCTGTAATACACTTAAAATAGGAGTAAAAGCTCTAATTGCCTTTACCCCTGAAGCCCATTTGCTTCTTACTACGTTGAGTCGTTTACTCAGAATGCACGGCAATGTGACAGTGTGTCCATTATGCGGCATCTGTTTGTGTGCAGTTCACTTAATCTGGTTTAAGATCGGAGGCTGGCGATGTGTAGGGAAATTAAAGTGAAGTAACTGACTTACAGTTGTGTATCCTGCCTTCAGTTGGCCCGGCTTAGCGTGCTGGAGTTCTCCAGAGGTCATGCAGTTTTGGCGTGGTTTTGGATTGGGACCCCCGGCTTTGTTCTGTTTTGGGCCGTCCTGATGAAGTCCGGTGCTGTCTGACCCACTGTGTTTGGGCAGGAGGGCTTGCGAGGGGCTGAGCAGGGACGGCTCATTTCAGCCACGCAGCACCAGCCGAAACAGATTGTTCCTTGAAGTTTGTGAAAGGGATCATATTTTCGGCTGGACCCATGAAAACTTCTCATTGTCATTTCAGTTACCCCTCTTCTTTCTTAAACAGATCCAGCAATGGGAGCAGAACCTGGAGAAGTTTCACATGGATCTGTTTAGGATGCGTTGCTATCTGGCCAGCCTACAAGGCGGGGAGCTGCCAAACCCCAAGAGCCTCCTCGCTGCTGCCAGCCGCCCCTCCAAGCTGGCCCTCGGCAGGCTGGGCATCTTGTCGGTTTCTTCTTTCCACGCTCTGGTAAGTTCCTGGGAAGGGCTGTTTGTGGCATCCAGGGAGGATTGCGGACGCTCACCTTTTCCCAGCTGGTTGCCCTTCAGCTGTCCTGGGACTTAACCCAGTACTGCCCAGGGGCTCCCCCCGCCCCCCCGGGTGGGGGCCAGACTCTGCGGGGATGGAGGGTGGGAGGCAGCCTGCTCTAGAGAGTCCTGGCTTCTCTGCCGCCACTTCTAGGAACCCAGCTCCTCGTAGACGGTTATGAAATATTCACATCTGCATCTGCCGTTCTGTTTCACGTCCTACAGTCAGGAAGGTGGAAATCCCTGAGGAGCAGCAACAGGGGTGTGAAGAATGAAAAGGCTGAGCGAAGGGGGTTTTGTCTGTCCTGCACAGAGCCCCACTGGGTTTTCCACAGCGGCTCCTGGGTGGCTGGCTTCTTTGGCTAGTATGAGAGCTCCAGCCTGGGGGGCTCTGTGGATCGTTTTGCCGGCCCCACTGCCCGCCCTGGAGAGATGTGAATGTTGTAACTAGGCTGGCGTTATCCAGATAAGAGATAGCCAAATGGTGGGTGCACGTGTGGTATGTCAGACATGCAGTAGCTTTTGGCCAGCACATGATGGTTACAGCAAGCAGGGCTTACTTCTGTTCAGGCAACCGTTAATTCTGTCACCCCAGATAATGTGTCTTAAGATTTTTAAAACTGTGTTTTTAATTAGGTATGTTCTAGAGATGATTCTGCTCTCCGGAAAAGAACACTCTCACTGACCCAGCGAGGAAGAAACAAGAAGGGTATATTTTCTTCATTAAAAGGGCTGGACACACTGGCGAGAAAAGGGAAGGAGAAAAGACCTTCTGTAACTCAGGCGAGTTCCTCAGGCCAGGAGGGACAGCAGACTTAGTGGGAGATCCTTGATAGTCAGCAGATCATAAATGCTCGTCATCCGTTAAGAATGAGATGAAAGTTGAGTCAGAGGAATGCGGTCCTGGCATGGGCTTTTTCCAAATGGGAACACACAAGTCGCCCAGCCTCCTTTTGGCACTTCCGGAAAGGTATTCACACCTTGCTCACAGCTGCAGCTCCAGGCACATGTAATCAGATGAGAATCCACACTTTAATTGCCTTTAGAATATTTTTCCCCCCTAAGATTTGATGTTAAAATAAACATGTCAAATTAATAATAGAGTAACGGCAACCAAATTCTATTGATCGTGCTAGACACTCTTCTCACTTAATCTTTCTGACACAAAGGAGGCATTTTGTCATCAGATTTTTAGAGATGAGAAGCCTGAGGCGTGGAGAGGTCTGTCACTTCCTCAGCCTTGTTCACCCCATGCCCGTGGGGCAGGGCTGGCCTCCATCTTCCTGGATCCAGGACTCTGTAGCACTGGGCTGTTGGCAGCTGCTGAGTGTCCTAGAGGAAAGACACCTGTTTTAATATTTTATTTTATTTTAATTAATTTTAAAAAGATTTTATTTGGAAGAGAGAGCACAAGCAGGGGGAGGGGCAGAGGGAGAGGGAGAAGCAGACTCCCCGCTGAGCAGGGAGCCGGATGCAGGGCTCGACCCCTGGATCATGACCTGACCGAAGGCAGAAGCTTAACCGACTGAGTCCCCCAGGCACCCCTGTTTTAATATTTTAAAAATAACGTGAGCACTCATCGCTGAAATGGGGCTCACGTATAGTGAATTGTCTTCAGAACATTTTGAATACTCCTATCTGAAGTAGTTCCTAATGACATTAATATAGTGTATGATAATGAATTTTATGTTGCAGACTAATATGTTTTAGGATTGTTATTTTTTCAAAGACTGTTGAAAAGATGAGTTCTTCATGTGTTAATCTGATCATTTAAATGGAAAGGAAAAATGTGATGAAGTCTGAAGAAATTCTTGTTTTTACTTTTAACATGTTATTCTGAATAGGCTTCCAGTGTCATCTGGAAGAGAGGGTCACATCTCATGGAACTTGATTTTGTGATTTTATATGGATATTTATTTGATTGTGTATCCTAGTTTTGTGAATTGCGTGAATCACAGATAGAAGCCACTCCTTTGACCTGTTTATAGCCCTGGAACCATAAAGGAGGAGTGGTGGACAAAAACACATGAGCCCCTCTTTTCCATGGTCTCTGTTTTGCATATTACTGTACAATTTTTATATACTCCTATACAATGGAAAAGAATATCACATTTTAAATTGTGGTTCTACTTGTACTTTAATTGTAAAGTAATCATGTGTTGGTTGTAAGTGGGAAAATATTTCTTCATTATAGATGGTAGCCACCTATATACCATTGGCTAATGCTAGGCTTATATTTTTGAATTGAACTTCTGTGAATGTATTTGAGGCAAATTTTGGTTTTAATCAAGACAGTCAATTCTGTATAATTAAATGATAATGGTAAATAACTTGATAACTTGCTCCTTTTTCTTAAGTGTTGACATTCAGCTAACTGTATCTGAGCCTAATACGGTCTTTATCCCATCCGATGTGGTAAATGTTCTTAATGTAAGATTTCTTGAGAAGCAAAAGCATTTGGTTGAACATTTTTGTTTTAAACAGATAGGAAACTAATCGCAGTATTTGTATTTATGTAACTGAATGACGTAGATGTGGGTAGGTATCCATAAATGTTTAAACGGCCAGTTCTTTAATGTTTGTTATTTCACTACAAAATCTGGAAGATAAGAATTAGAAAAAGGAAATTATTCCTCATCCCTCTACCCAGACACAACCACTGTTAATATTTAGCTATATTTCTTCCCTATTGTTGTCCTGTGCACATTCGGAAAAGAGTTACAAGCTTGATTTTGGTGGTTTCGTGAGCCCAACTTTGAGCTCTGTTTCACATCTTCAGAAATGTGTACTTCTTGGTTAAAAACAACATCAAGAAGATCCAGGGTTACTGGAATAATATGACATTATAGAAAAGTAAAATTTGTAACCGTATGGGAAGTAAAAAAAGCAACTTTTCCTTTAAAGTTAAAACTTTAAATGTAGTAGAGTAGTAATTAGTATAAATTGTGATGTGAAGATTCTGTAAAATGTTACGGAACATAAAATTTTAAATACTGAAAAAGGGTAGCTGCCAAATGAACATTGCAGAGCCATTTCATTAGCCTTTGATTCAAGGGGCGGTAGGCATTTTCTGGAACTCAGCAATCCCAAAACTCCCAATAACTCCAGTGAGGGGAACATTGTTGGCAGCCATCTTGTTTTACGTTGATGACGCAAGTGCTAAGTTAAGCGGGCAGTGCTGGTTCACGCTCTTTATGTGAATCTCTTGAAAATAAATTTAGAATTCATGTGGTCCCTAGTGCGTAAATAAGAGAGATCCTCAGAATGCCAAGTAATTTTGAAGATCTCTAAATTCATGGTAACCCTATCTTAAAAGTGGCATGGCTAGATTAAGATCAAAATAGCAACTTCCGTTTATACTTCCCTATTGCTCAGCAATGCCTACCCTCGTTTGAGAGTTTGGTGAATCCAAAATTGCATTTTCCTCTCAGGGTGGTTAGAGAGCTTCACACAGACAGTACATCCATGCTGTGAATCAGCAGCCTTTGGATCACCAAGTGCCCTCAGTGGAGTTGAGCGCAGGGAGGGTCCTTGTCTAGACTCCAGAAGAGTTTCTGACTAAACAACTCAGAACCATTTCTGAGTGGAATTAATCATTTCTGAGTGGAATTATGGAGTAGGGCAAACAAACAAACTTACGCTTTTCCTTTGGGGTTTTTTCAAATCCATACCTTCCCCTTACAGCTGTGTTTCCTGTTACTGAGCGATTTCTCTGTCTTCTTCACTAAATCGTTTTATCTTGGGTTTTCTGTCCAATAAACTTCTCAACTATTTGTAGAGGTTGAAACCTGATTTTAATAGGCTTGGACAAATTTAATATGCTTTTGCAGAAGTTGGCAGTATTACTTAATAAATTAATTGGGATAATTTGGCCACTTGACAATTAGGCTGGAAAAAACTTGAGGAATGGTTGAGTATTACACTGTTGATGGGTCCAGAGGGGAGGTAAGGGAGGTACTTTCTGGTGATCCTAAAATAATACAACACAGACAGCTTCCTGTTCTGCCTTCATGTGAGTCTGGCCTGGACTGTGGGCTGTTCAGTGTGCTATTTTATTGTTGACAGTGCTCCTAGTGGGCTGCTCAGCCTAAGGTGTCCTGAGATGGGGTAGAAAACCTCCACTCAAAGCCCCATTCCCCTTCACCTCCCCTTCTCAGAGATCAGGGGCTGCAAGAGTGTGGGTATGAGACAGAATGGTTCGTGCCAGGGGTCATGTTGCTACGTTGCTCCTCTCTGTTCTTGGTGATCTCGTTTTGCTAGATCTGACCAACCGTGGGGCCACAAGGATGCCAAGTCCAAACCTTCCTTTTTTTAAGATTTTGTTTATTTATTTATTTATAGTGTGAGCAGGGGCAGGGGAGGGCAGAGGGAGAGAGAATCTCAAGCTGAGGGCAGAGCCCTGAGCCCCCATGTGGGGCTCAGTCTCACAATCCTGAGATGATGACCTGAGCTGAAATCAAGAGTCAGGTGCTTAACCAACTCAGCCACTCAGACGCCCCTCAGACTTCCTTTTTATAAATCATACCATCAAAATTTCAGACTTCTATAAATGAATATAAATCATTTCCATTCCCTGCCCCTTTATTTCTATACACTGCAGAGCCTATTTCAAAATCCAGATCAAATTACCATCTTTTTTTTTTTTACTTGATTAAAAAAATTATATCACTATTATAGGTTTCCCCATGGATCGGAAGTAGATCATTCCTGTGAAACCTTTCATAAACTGAAATAGCATTAGGTGAAGAAGCAAATACCGTTAATTTATATGGAAAAATTTTGAGCATTCCCAGAGCCAAAAAGTAACATTTTGGGCTTTTCTCATACTTTAGGGCACATCTTGCTAAAGGATGCACAAAATAAATCGAGGTACAGCTCAGATGCTCAGACACAGTTCAAAGCTCTGGTGGGTTGATGCTCAGATGACAAGCGTAGCTCCCAGGGAAGGACCTTGGCCCTGTCCCTCTTGCTACTGGGCTGTGCGCGCATGCATGCTGTCTCTCGAAGGGCTTACTGCTGCAAAACAGGCACTGAATGTGTTTCTGCTTTTCACCTGATTTCATCAAAGTGAGTGAAAATCTTCTATGGATTTCTTTCAGTTAGCTCTAACAGGTACAAACAGATCTTTCATGAAAGCGAAGTGACACAATGTGAACTATAGAAAAGTGGGGGACACCTCTGTTTCTTTGGTTTGCTACCTCTTACCCTCAGTGATGTGACCAAGCTGTGTCTCCCAGACAGGCTTGTAATTGGGACCCTTGCTCTGTATAGTTTATATTTTATGATTATGTATATATTCTCAGTCCATAGCACACTGCTGAGGATAGAGTATCGTTTAATAAATCTGCCCATTGTCTATATCAGGTGCAGTCCTTTAATTATAGTTGAGAAGAAATGTTTGATCTGTAATAAAAAACATAGTTTGAAGGTTATATCTCTTCCGTCGCTAAATAATAATTTAAAATTCCTACTTTGAAAGTTAAGAGATTCTGTCATGGAAGCATTTTTTATTAACTGAAGTTACATTGGGCTTTGAAAATAAATTTTGCTAAAAAAGCTTTTGATGGTCAGAATTAAGCTTAGTGCTTATTTAAATTGTGCTCAAATTACCAGATGATCTTCTTGTGATTTAACTGGTAAGTCCCATTGGCACTATAATCAGAGGAAAATATTGCATCTGTTTTTTAAAGCATATACACTTAAACATTTATTCCTATTTTAACTAAGAATTGCCTCTGGTGTAGGAACACTGAACGAATTCTTTTGACATATAGGGCTACTTT